GAGGACGCAGTGTCTCGTTCCCTACTCAGGGAACCATGGTTACACAAGTAACCTGAGACGTTTGTGCAGATGCAAGCTGTTAGAGTACATCGGGCCTTTAATCTTCGACTTCAAAATATTTAAAGATTTTTGAAAATGACCGTTCATGCAGTGTGTAACACAGCTCTAAGTGAATGAAAACATCCTGCAAAGTTTTAAATCTGAAAGGGCGCCGTGTATAAAGTTACTGTCTCTCAAAAGAAAGAGTCGACTCTGAATCATTGAAATTACACATTTTTTAAAACGAATCCCAAGCCGTTTCATATTGATGTCAACATGAAACATTAGCATATTGCCCGCCCACTTGTTGGTCTTTGGTCTGAATGAAAATGCAAATTCATTCTTTGCCACTATGGTGCCGCTTTTGGAGCGGTTAAAATAACGGTTTCCCTGGTAACACTGTACACAAAGCAGCACTGCACTCACAAACACTGCTTTATCAGACATTACAGACATGGTGAAATGAAAATGAGAGCAATCGGACCAATCACCGCAGATTAGCGTCACGCAAAGGCGGGGTTTGGAAAAATGAAGCATTGAGGGAATCGTTTGGGAGTCGTTGAGCAAGTAAGGTAAAAATAAATGCATATTATAAGACTATGAAAGTGTTTTTTTGACCTTGCATGCATGTCAACCTGTTGTTGGGGACTCCCAAAACCAAAATATGAACCTTTCATTACCCATAATAGGGGCACTTTAAAAAGAGTGCAATTAATCTCTCTCTCTCTATATATATATGCATATTATAAGACAATGAAAGTGTTTTTTGACCTTGCATGTATGTCAACCTGTTGTTGGGGACTCCCAAAACCAAAATATGAACCTTTCATTACCCATAATAGGGGCACTTTAAAAAGAGTGCAATTAATCTCTCTCTCTCTATATATATATATAATATATAGATCATATACAATTATTATATTATGATACTTGTGTATATGTATGCATGTACTGTATATATTTGAGGGTCATATATATGACAATAAATGACAATGAATGTTACAAAAGTTTTTCATTTCAAATAAATGCTGTTCTTTTGAACTTTCCATTCAACAAAGAATCCTGAAAAAATCATGGTTTCCACAAAAATATGAAGCAGCACAACTTTTTAGCACTGATAATAATAAGAAATGCTTCTTGAGCAGCAAATCAGCATATTAGAATGATTTCTAAAGGATCATGTGACACTGAAGACTGGAGTAATGATGCTGAAAATTCAGCTTTTCATCACAGGAATAAATGACAGTTGAAAACATTTTCAAATCGAAACAGCTATTTAAACTGAAATAATATTTCACAATATTACTGTTTTTTCGGCATGTTTTATCAAATATTTGCAGCCTTGCAAGAGGCGTACCAACCCTAATCTTTATACGTAGAGTATGTTGCTGAGAAGCTGGTGTTTGGCCTGATTTGAGCTGCTCACCAGGACAGCAGTGAGCTGAGGTAATCCGGCGTGCTCGTATCGGGGCTGAGCGGAGGAGACATGACAAATGCAGCAGCTTTGGCCCAGTCTTTGCTCCAGTAGTGCGATCCGTCCGCGCCCAGGCCGGCTGCTATTGGCTCTCCGTAGATGACCATGCCTGAAAACAAATCAATGCACATGACACAAACATTCACAAAGCTTCCTTTGTGTTTCTGTTACAGTCTTGTAGAACGCTTTCAACTCTCGTACCCTTTTTCCTGGCCTTGGCAATGACATCAGCAGCTGCTTTGCTCATCACCTTTGTGATGTAGAGAGGGCAGTTGGCCTGTTTAGCAATGGTGATAGCTCGATACACAGCCTCAGTCTCCACCTGGAGAAGAACAGCAGAAGTGATGCTGATGTAGAACAGATTTTGATTTAAACCGACTCAATCCCTTAAGACTAACCTCCTCCGGGTGGCTCAGGACGTGTCCTTCTGGGCCAGTGATTCCCAGATCCAAAAGCTTATTCTGCTCCTGAGGTTACAAACAGAACCAAGAATGCATTTAAGTATGGAGAAGAAAAGGAACTGGTATATTTTATAAAAGAACATAGTTGGAATAGAAATGCATTAGCAATTGAAGCACTCTAGGTTACCTCCTCAATGATGTCACCGTTTTCAGCATGAACCTGTGCGATGGCACCCAGTTCCCTCATGGCACTAAACATCTCATAGATCTACAGACACAGAGAGTGTTAGTTCTTGGGAACAGGATTGCTAAATGTTAAAAAGTTTGGTTTTTCAGCAAGGATGCATTAAAATGATCAAAAGTGACAGTAAAAACATTAATACTGTTACAAAGAATATCTATTTTAAATTCTGTTCTTTTAAACTTTCTTTTCATCGAGGAATCCTGGAATCCTGAAAAAAAATGTATTTTGTGTTTCCGCAAAATTATTAAGCAGCACAGCTGTTTTCAACATTATCATTAACATTAATACTGAAAAATATTTCTTGAGCAAAGCAGCATATTAGAATGATTTCTGAAGGATCGTGTGACACTGAAGACTGAAGTAATGACGCTAAAAAATTCAGCTTTGCATCACAGGAATAAATTACATTTTAAAAGATATCCAAATAGAAAACGGTTATTTTAAATTGTAATAATATTTCACAATATTATTGTTTTTACTGAATTTTTGTTCAGACAAACGCAGCCTTGGTGAGCCTCATGCTTTTGAACTGTAGTGTAAACATCATTCTCTTTATTTTTAGCATTTTATTTACCTGTGTATCAGAGCTCTGATACTTGTCCTTATAAGCCATAAAGATCAGGAAGGAGTTGACACCTAAAACAAAAAACGAAGAATTGTGTTTTTATAATGTAATTTATATTTTTGAGGCTGAATGCTGAATGTGTTTGGTTAAGAAACCTAATAACGCAGAAAGCAAAAATATCAAAGTCACACCTGAAATCTCACATCACCTTTATCTTTGACCAGAGACTCCAGCTCCTCAAACAGCCCATCATGCCAGCGAGTGATGTCAATGTGCAGAGAGTAATCACAGCACGACCTCTTGTCTGCCATATCCCTCCACTGGTCATACGCTGCCAGTAAACTAGCTCCCGGTTCAGGTACAGCATGGTCAACTAAGATGAGCAGAGCATACAGATTAAAAACATGCTTCAAAAATGACAACTCTGTCCTCATTTACTCACCCTCAAGCTGTTCTAAACCTGCATTAAACCTGACAGAATTATCATTTCTGGGTGAACTATCCCTTTAATATGTTAAAAAATATATATTAAAGACTCTTGTGTTAAATGCTTGTGGTCATAAACGGGTAGCTGACAATATTTCAAGCAATGACAACAGTCTGAGATGCTGTAACTCATCAAAAACTTTTTCTAATACTTCCATAATTATGCATGGTAATTGTATAAGCTGCTGCTTATAAAGGATTCTGTGGGTTGGGTTTTATGGGCATAAATGTAAGACTTTTTAAAGACCAAGTATAGAAAATTGAAGGACTTCGAAAAAGTTTGACAATACAACTTCCAACTCATCTCTATTTTAATTCATTTTATAAAATAAGACACTTAGATAAGAAAAATAAGTTTTCATACCCTACTGACAGATGCTTGTTCTTTTTTGCTCATTTTGTCAGAAAACATATCTTCATTTCGCATCTCAAGTAAATGGGTCTTGATTTAAGGATGTTTAGATATTTGCAATGGAAAACAAGGCAAAAATACAGAGGAAGACATACATTTTTAGCAATGCATGCAACATTTAATGCCATGAATTTATGACTTTTTGCTCTGATTTAAGACCTTTTTTAAGGCCTTCATTTGTGGAAGGGCAAATTAAGACCTTTTTAAGGCCCACAGAAACCCTGTGAAAATTGAGTAACTGCATGGATTTTGTATTTGTCAAACTGCAGGATAACTAGGAGAAAGATACGACAAAAGGTGATTCAAGATGGTGAAAAAACAAAAATACAAATGTGACCCTGGAGCACAAAACCAGTCATAAGTAGCACAGGTATATTTGTAGCAATAGCCAACAATACATCGTATGGGTCAAAATGATTGATTTTTCTTTTATGCCAAAAATCATTAGGATATTACATAAATATCATATTCCATGAAGATATTTTGTAAATTTCCAACCATAAATATATCAAAACTTAATTTTTGATTAGTAATATGCATTGATAAGAACTTCATTTGGACAACTTTAAAGGCGATTTTCTCAATATTTTGATTTTTTTGCACCCTCAGATTTTCAAATAGTTGTATCTAATATTGTCCTATCCTAACAAACAATACATCAATGGAAATCTTATTTATTCAGCTTTCAGATGATGTATAAATCTCAATTGCAAAAAATTGACCCTAATGACAGGTTTTGTTGTCCAGAGTCACATTTCACTTT